GGCCCCCCCCCACCCTCCTCGGGTGCTGTGCCCTGGGCATGGCAGCACCCCGGCGGCGCTCCCTGCTCCCTGCCAAGGCTTCCTGGTGCGGCTCAGAGACAACGTTTCATCTCGAAGGCCGCCTTTTCCCCTCCCTGCGCTGGCTGGGGGATGATTTGTGATCTCTGCCCACCGCCCCAGGGCCGGGAAGGCCGGCGAGCAGCGCCGGGGTCCCATGCTGCCCGCTGCCCACTGCCCGCTGCCCGCATGGGGTGGTGCACTGTGCCGCAGGCAGGGAAGAGGAGGTGTCTCTGCCTGACCCAGGCCAGGAAGACGGCCCGCAACCCTGGCTCCAGCAGGAAGCTGGTGCTATTATTCTGGTGATCTCATTATAAGATCTAAAACCACCCCTTATTTTTTGCAAGGCTTTTTGGAGTCGCCACTGACACCGAGGCGTTTCTGGCTGGGGCTCAGACAGCCAGAGTTGAAGCCTGAGAAATAACCGAAGGGATCTTGCCCCCAGATGGATGAGCTGCCCCGCACGCAATGCGCCGGGCTGGGATGTGGGAGCCACGCTTACGTGTGTGCGAAGCAGGGGAAGCATATGGGGTATGTGTAAGCAGCTGGGTCCTGTGACCAGAGTACTGTTCCTATGAGCACAGGAAACACAGTGCCTCCGAGCCAGGACGGGAATGGAAAAAACAGAGTTTATGGGAGCCCAACATGGGTCCAGATTGGCTGCGCAGGGAGCTGCAGGACGAGGGGAAGGGGAGGGTGGCCAGGAATGTGGGCTACGGTCACAGTGTTGGGGCTGAGAGTGTTGGGGCGAGCGCCCCGGCCGGCCCGTGCCGGGAGGAAGGGGAGCGGGGGCTCTGTGGGAGGGCAGGCCTAGGGCCGAAGGCTGCCGAAAGTGGAATCGGGAGGTTTTGTGCGGACACTTTAAGAAATGTGTAACAATAAACATCCTCTGCTCCGCGCTGGTGACGCGCCTCCTTGTTACAAACCAGAGGCTGTCAGCTTGTCAGGCCCCGTTCCCCATAATCCACATGATTTCAAAATTCAGCATCATTTGCACATAAACATTTGGTGACGGTTTCTCTGTGAATCTGACAAGTTAAGCTGCTAAGAATTTGCACTGACAAATGCGGGTTGATTTCTTGGGCAGCTGCTGATGCAATTCCCATCCCCGCTGCCCTGGCAACAGCCCGAGGGCTGTCTGGTCTCAGCACGCGTGGCCGATGCCAACCAGGCATCGGGAGGGAAAAGAGCCCTGGCCAGGAGGCACCGGGGCTTGCGGAGAGGAGGCTTGTTCTGGCCCTTCGTCACCGCTGCCGGCATCATGAAATTGCTCCGTGGACATTTACAGTGGGCTTCTCACAGGCTGGGGCACCCCCAGCACAGTGAGGTGCGCATTTGGCAACGCGGTGAGAGGGCCACAGCCTGGGGCCGACCGGAGGCAGGAGGTGGCACCTTGGTGTTGAAAGAGGCAAAATGCGGGAGGGATCGGCTCCAAGGGCCGTGAAAGAGAAACGAGAAGGGTCCGTGGGATGCAAGAGGGAAGGGACAAGGAGGACGTGAGGATGTTCTACCTTTGTTGGAGGGCATGAAATCCTTGGCCTTGTCGTTGCAATAGTGGAGGCAGCAGGACAGAATCACGTCATCGTTGTTTCCCTGGAAGAAAAGGGCAACGTTACCCCGGGCAGTAAAAAACCTGCAACCCCACCACCCTGATTTCTGCACTGCCCTTGAGACACTGCCACAGCTCAGCGGAGAGCAGGGCTGCTCGGAGCCGAAACACATGCGGCCTGCAGGAGCCTGCTCAGCTGCCTCCAAAGGTGGGGAGAGAGCTACCCCCTGCCCAGAGCTCGCAGACCCCAGGGTCCCTGGTCTCCCCCAAGGAAGCAGTGGTGAAGAGCCTCCAGCCCTTGGCATCACTACTTCTGCGTCCCGTACTCCTGGGGCCGGGATGTCCCTTACCTGCTGGCCGGTGGTGTCTTCGCTGCGGAAGGAGATGGACTCCAGCTCATTGCCTCGGCTGGTCAGAGCCCTCAAGCAGTTGTCCCGGCTCTCGAATCGCTCCTCCAGGAACTCGATGGACTTCCTGGCTCTCTCCTGCACTTGGCGGGCATAGCCTGCAGCCCGGTGCTCCATCTCCGGGCCCTTGGCCAGGCCGTCCAGCTCGTTTATCACTTCAAACAGGAAGAGGAGGTACAGTTACTATGGGACAAGGTGCTCCCATGACCTGCTGCTGGAGCACGCAAGTTGCCAAGGCCTCGGGGCCGGGGCACTGGGAGCTGGCTCAGGAAATCTGGGTTCAGCTGCCGCAGCGTCCCTGCACTCCTGGACTTGGCTGCGGGTCTGGAAAAGCTTTGCTGCCTTCCACCTCCGTGGGTCACCTGGCTCGGCTCCGAGAGCGCAGGCACCTCGCCCCTGCAGCGTGCGGGGAACGCTCCCTAAGGGCATCTTGCTCTGCTCTGCAAAACGCTGGGACCATCACCGTGCCCCCTACCCCACACTCCTGTCTCACAGCTGACGGCACCTCCGGGTGTGCCCGAGGGTGTCAGAAAAGCAGTCTCCTGCAGCCCGCTCCTCCGCCTCCGAGCACAGCGATGGCCAGCAGCACCGTGCCTCCCGCCCCGCATCGCACTGCCTGGCTCTGCACCTCTCAGCTCCCTGTACTTACTTTCAGACACGGAAAGCCGCTGCCCTCCTGTCACAGGGCTGCATGTGGGAACAGGGTCACGTGTGGGAGCCGGCAGTTCCCACTCCAGCACTGTTTCCCGCACAAGTCCTGGCCCTATTTTCCCCACCTGAAGCTGCCGGTCCCACGCTCCCGGCAGGGGACATGCTCTCTCCAACACCTCACCCATCTGGGTTCACACATCTGTCCTGACACATGCTGCTCGAGAAGAGCCTGAGCCTGGGATCAGGTGGATTCGCAGCCCGTTTGCCTTAACTGGAGCCCGTCAAGTCTTAAGAGCCTCCTGCACTGCTGCCAAGTGGACGGGAACTCCAGCCGCTCCGGCCCCCCAAGCGCAGCAGAAGCCCGAGGGATCCCAGCAGAGCTCCAGGAGGGACCCACCCTCCAGCACCGGGGCTGCTGGAAGAGCCGCTCTGTTGCAGAGCGAGCGCGCGTGTGCGAGCAAGATGCCGCCAAGGCGGCTAGCGGCGAGGCCGGGCACACAAGCGTGCGGCCAGATGTGCGCACGAGCGTCCTTGCCTGCGATCGTGCACAGGGCTGCGTGTGCGCGAGGCCGGGCGCGCGAGAGAGCTGGTGTGCACGTGTGCGCGAGGGAGCCTCTGTGCGCACAGTGTGTGTTTTAGCCATGGCTTCATTTCTGAAGATTGTTTCCGAGCCTGGAGCCAAGTCCTGAGTTCAAGTGGGAACTATGCATTCCTTGGGGGTTCGGGGAGAGAGCTCGGGGTCTGAGGCCTCTCCCCAGTGCTGTGAATCACTGCCCGGGGAGCCTGCGTGATCGCTCTGTTCCATGGTGAGACTGGCACTCACTGTCTGGGTATTCAAATTAAAGCTGCATGGAGCTGCTTTGCTCTTCGCTGGCCGGCGACTCTTCTTGCTACCGACCTGATGCTGCCATTTCCACACAATGCACGGCTGGGCCCGGGGTGGGGGGAGCCGTGCAAGAACGGAACATCAAACAGGAAAAGCTGGTATTCCCTCCCGAAATCCGCCTTCCTGCTTCCAAGCTAAACAGGCTTCAAAGGGGAGGCTTGTTTGTGCTTCTGCACCAGGCCTGGCTTCTCCATGGCGGGGTCAGCCTCAAGGAGCACGGAGCAGGTTAAAGAGCAAGAGAAACAAACCCAACGCGAAGCCGCGCGCTTAACCCCTTGCTGCATCCCCGGGAAGAGTGGGGAGGAGTGCCCCGTGCTGGGGGAAGGGTACTGCGTGTGTCTCCGGTCTGGTGTCTCCGGTTTGGCGATGGGGCACGGCACCAAGGCCTCTGCCCCCAGCAGCCACGGGCCCCTGGCTTACCCCGGGGGACAGGTTCCTCCTGCCTGCACTCGGGTCGCAGCACTGATGGCTTTCCTGGAGGACGAGGGGAATTTGACCAACACCCGGCGTGGACAGGGAGTTGCTGGCTTCAGGGTGCTTCAGCAGCGGCAGGGGAGGCTCGTGGCAGGCAGTGGGAGATGAGTTACTCTGTCCCCCCTGTGATGGCCTGTGCAGGGAGGCAGCAGGAAAGGAAAGCACTGAAGGTGCTCAGACACTGCTGCTCCTCCTGCCCCCGGCGGGGCAGGCCAGGCCAGGCTCCTTTTGCAGGTTGAGGGCAGCAGCGTCTTCGACAGGGACAGGACCAGGGTTTTCAGCTCTCCTGTAACTGCTGCCCCTGGCTGGGGTTCGGATGGGGAAGCCTCACGCCAGCCACAGGAGCGCAGCGGGAGGCAGGGCCATGGCTCCAGGGCAGGTCCCAAGCTCTCTCAGGTGTTAACACGCTCCACAGCCCCCAGGGCTGCCCAGGCTCTGCCGGTGCTGCCCGCTTCCTTCCCTTCGCTTCCACACAAAGCCCTGGCACTGCGGTGCCAAGCCACAGAGCTCCTTGGCAGCTCCCGTGCTGAGCTGGGCAGGCGGGCAGCCCTGCT